TTCCGGTGTATAAGACGACTTTTGAAAAGAAAAAAAGTCAACCGAAAATCGGGGGCAAAAGACCAAAATTGCACAAGTATTAGCTGCAGATCTTGATGGCAAAGTAAGTCTTTTCTTTGAAGTGGAGGGGTAGTCTTATACAGCGCATATAGGCCTAAACCTATGTTTTAACTGTAAAATTAGGGGGTCGTCTTATACGCCAGAAAATATGGGTAGTTAATTCAGCCTCAAGTGCATGGGAAGAACTCTAAAGGAGGTGGAGAATTAAAGAGTTTTGGTAACTCAGAAGATGAACCACCTCTGAATATCAGTTTCAAGCCAGAGCATCTTGTTCTCTGTTGGGAAACAGGAAGACACAAAGGCTATTCAGCTTTGAGTTGCCCAAACCAATGACCAACAATTTGTAATCCTTTTGAAAACCTTCATGACTTTTTGTAATCATCACTCCTATTCTTCCATCTCATCCCAGTTCATAAAAATGTGTCTCTTTTAGATAAACATCAAATTGAATATTTCAGGGCTGTTACCTTAAGTTATTAAATGGTCTTAGCTCAAAGAAAAATGAAGTTCCAATTAAATAAAATGACTACTCAGGTCTAGATCCACAAATGTCTGATGAAACCAGCTTTGTTTGTATTTGAGATCTGGGATGAAAAGTGCTCTTAGATGGATTGTGATCGATAAGGACATAATGACAGTGAACTGCTCTGAGAGCATTCCCCCGCTGGATAAAGAAAAGAAATGGATAAAACATAGCAAATAAAAAGTAAAGTAAACCTCAGCCCAGGAACAGAACTTTTGAGAGAAAGGTAGTCCATGGATAAAAATTCTAAAGCCGAACCCTGGCTGGCATGGGTTCAGTTGGTTGGAGCGTCCTCCCTTACACTGGGAGGTCGAAGGTTCAATCCCCATAAGGACACATACACACCTAGGTTGCTGGTTCCATGTCCCCCCTCCCCCCCACATCCTCTCCCGTGTTAGGGCGAGAAAGGATCAGTGTTTCTCTTCCCTCCATCCCTCCCTCTCTAAAATAAAATAAAAATTATATAGCCAAGAAACATTATTTATATCAAGTTTGCATATGTAAAGAATACTAGTATCATGTTCTGGGGTCCTTTACCTGCCTGACTTTATGTGTATAGAATTGATGTGCACAAGGTTTTAAATAATCAAAACAGTGATATATATATATATATATATATATATATATATATATATATATATATATATATAATCTTAAGTTCATAAATTAAATATTTTCATGTGCACTGATTTATCTGAGCTTCAAGCTCAAAGGAAAAGAAGTTCTGCTGTTGGCACACCTGTGAACACACAGGTTTCCAGATTGGGCCAGAGGGAGAAAGCTGAGTTAATGCAGTTCCTAAAGTATCTCCCCTCTCCACTTTTGAGGTACTCTCCTTGCAAACACAGGGGGCACTAACTTGCCAATTTAGACAAGCAGCGGCTCACCCTCAGCCTCTCCAGCATCTCGTCTTTCTAGAGGAGGGTCAGCCTCCTCAGAACGCTAGGAAACAAGGGTCAGCCTGGACTGTTTCCAGTCACCACAAGAGGCTGAACAGAGCAAGTCACTCCCCCAAATCCCCAGATCTCTGCTAAAAAAAAAAAAAAAAAAAAAAAGGTGATCTCGTGTGCGGAGGAAGGAAGCGTATAAGAATATAAGGAGTAAACGAAAGGAAGAAAAAAATCTCTCAGGAGTAAGGAAAACCACGCAGTCGTGGGCTCAAACCCGGAGGACCAGCCGGCCCACTCCAGCCTTGGACCCCGGTTGCCCTTTATCTGCGCGCTGTTCCGCACGGACACTGGGTGGCGCTCGTGGTAAAGACTTGCACTTTAGGGTCCCGTTTCTCCACCATCACCACCACACACCCCACCCCCGCCCCTTGCAAATTTCGGCTGCTAGGAGATGACATTACTCACGTTCTTCCTACGTGTCGCCGTGGGGAGCGCGCTTCTGGAGAAGTTTGGTGCCATGGGGCCATTTCTCCAAGCCTGAGCCCTTCGATGGGTTTTGAAAGAGGCAGCAGCGGCGTCGGGTCCACTGGCCTTAAGACAAAGGTCCAGACCTTGGGGTCAGAAACACCCACCGGACCAGAAACGCCCACAGGACCCGAGGGCAGGGACACCCAGAGCGCGTGCGGCCATGGGACAGACAACGGGACTCCAGCCCCTTTGAACTTAGCGCTCTCTTCTCAGGCAAGGGTAGGGGACAGTGGGGTCGACTTGGTGAGGAAGCTGAACAAAGTCGAGAGAGGCCTTCAGAGATGCCCCCAGACTGGGTTGGAAGTTGTACCCAGCAGCGGCCTTTGCTCTTGAAGGCCAGCACTCTGGGAACTGGAATAAAGAAGCCAAGCCCTTCCCTCCCACCCCACTCCTTTCTGTCCTGTGCAACATGTGAGAGAGAATGTCTCTTTTTTGGAGAGAGGGGAAAGGGACATTTAGCAGAATCAAGACTCACTGGACATTGCAACACTGTGTTCTCCACCCGACCCCAAACGTCTCCATGTTGCTCAAAGTCTGCAACTTCCCATCCCACCCTGTTTGGAATCTGCCTTCTCAGCAAAGCCTAAACACAGGGCTAGGCACACCCTCAATGTCATAACCATGTTGCCTTATTTCCCTTCAAGTTGTAACTTTTAAACCTGTAAGGAATAATTTTTTTAATGAGTTTTTATTTTTTTTTAATTTTTTTTAATTTTATATATTTTATTGATTTTACACAGAGAGGAATTGAGAGGGACAGAGAGTTAGAAACGTCGATGAGAGAGAAACATCGACCAGCTGCCTCTTGCACACTCCCTACTGGGGATGTGCCCGCAACCAAGCTACATGCCCTTGACCGAATCAAACCTGGGACCCTTCAGTCCGCAGGCCAACACTCTATCCACTGAGCCAAACCGGTCCCTGCTGTAAGGAATAATTTTTTAAAAATACCAGGGCTGGAGGGACCAGTGGAAGGCCACCCGACTTCCTGAGCCACTTGTCTTCTCCAGGAGGCGACGTGGACCCTCCCCAGCATTGCCTTGGGGATGTGATTCCTGTCATTAAACAGCAGGATGCGCTTAGGGTGGCTCCATTGGCACAAAGAACTTACCCTGAGCAGAGGCCAGGATGTCAAGCCTCTCCATGCTCCCTAGCTCTAAACCTAGATGGTGAATGGCAGTGTCAGAATCCACAGCCTGGGGTCGGGATGGGCCAGCAGCCCAGGCTCTGTTTTCTGGGCATCAGACTCAAGGAAGTCCTGGAAAACTATTGGCTTCTCTTTTCTGTTGCCTTCATTTTCTTCTGCAGGAGCACAGGCCTCAAAAAGGAGATTCCAGCGAGTGGGGGAGGGCGCCGAGAGCCCCTGTGACACACCCCTCCCCTGCCTGGAGTGTGCCAGCTCCTAAGTTACCCCTAAAGGCAAAGCGACAACAGCTGTGGTTCTAGGGCGCCCAGACGGTAGAGGCAGAGGCAGGGGCATGGTGCTGGCATGGCTGCTCTGCTCTGGTGTTCTGGAGCTGGCCTGGCACCCTGCCAAGAGTTCCAAACCCCCCAACTCTCCCTGCTGGCTTATTTTGGGCCAGGTAGCTCCACAGAAAGTAAGGCTAACCTGACTAACACTAGCCACTACTAATGGAGGCTCCTCTTTCGGTTAGAGTGGACAGAATGACGAGAAAACAGACCCTCCCTGCCTGGGTGTCTGGGGGAGCTCCTAGGTTCCTAGTCTCAGACAACACTCTGGAGGAGGATGCTGAAAAGGCCCAAATCAAGGTCCAGTTCCTGGGGTTGCCTACTTTAAGCTGGATCATCACTAGAGCAAGAGTGACATGTCATGAAAGCGAACTCTCTGGACCATGAACACCCAGTGGTCGGTTCCTGCGCCTTTTGTCCCTTTGCATGTGAGCTAAGATGTCTGGAAGTCAGGGAAGCAAAGGAATCTGGACCTGGAAATGGTGCCATACCCATGAGGCTGGGAGGGGAATATTGGTGGGCTTCACCCAACCTCCCAAACAGGCTTTCATTCTTGTCTACGTCTATCTTCTTGGGGTTCCCATTTGGCCCATTGGGATGACAGGTCATGCGTGGACCATTCACTTTTGCAGGAGCCCTTTAACTTCTGAACAGAGTTCCAGCCCCTCTCTTGCAATAGCAGCTGGATGGATGCGAATATTGCACAAAATGTGGCGCTGCTGGCTTCTTTGGGGCCAGCTATTTGGGCATCATTAAGTTATTTGTGCTTAAGACAGTAACATTTTAAACTCATTGTAGGGACTTAGGGTTGCAGCAACTGCCATTCACTGCCGAATGAACAAGTGTGCATTCATGAGCATCCTTACCCAGCCTTTTTCTGTGAAATATTTATCTCACGCCAGGGAAGTGCTTGTTGCAAATTTGCCTCCCCCCCCCCAAAAAAAAACCTGCAAATTTTCAACGCATGTAAGACACAACTTGACTCCCAGCACCCCAATAAAAAGTAGTCTCAGTTCCTTTTCCCCATCACCCCCTCCCCCATTCCCCACTGCCTATCACTGTTCACCTCCACACTACCCCCTGGTGAAGCCCAAGCGGATGGAGAGATGGGGAGCAAAGAAGGACCCGTGGCTGACCTCATCCGCAAAACATGAGCACTTTCCGAAGCTGCTGATTGGAACACATTGTCTCCGGACATCACAAAGCTAGCGTTTGGGCTTCTGCGTTTTCTTTGGTTTTCACTGAAAACAGATTCACTGAGACACCCCCTCTCCCCCCCTTTCCCCAACGTGTGTGTGTGTGTGTGTGTGTGTGCGCGCGCGCGCGCACACACACACACACACACACACTTCCCTCATCCCTACTTTTTTTTTCCCCCTCTTTTTTTTTTTTTTTTTAAGCAATGCTTTGTTGTGTTAAAACTAGTTGGACGAGTTGGGGTGTTGCTGCTGCTCCCGAGGCCCTGGCCAATGGAACCCGATCCACCCCGCTGTGCGTAAGCGTGCAATTAAGGATTTAACCAAGGCTGTGCTGCGCCTCCGCCAGCAGTCCGCCCGCCAGAGACACAGCTCCGCGACTCCCAGCCTCCTCCTCGCCGCCGCCGCCGCCGCCGCCTCCTCCTCCTCTTCCTCCTCCTCCCTCGCTCCCACAGCCATGTCTGCTTAGACCAGAGCAACTCCGCCGCCGCCGCACCTCGGCAGCAGCCGCCGCCACCGCCGCCGGGACAGCCGCCGCCCGCCCCGCGCGCCCGCCCGCCGGGGAGCGATGACAGGGGTGTTTGACAGGAGGGTCCCCAGCATCCGATCCGGCGACTTCCAAGCCCCGTTCCCCACATCCGCGGCCATGCACCACCCGCCCCAGGAGTCGCCCACTCTGCCCGAGTCCTCGGCCACCGACTCCGACTACTACAGCCCCGCGGGCGCGGCCCCGCACGGCTACTGCTCTCCTACCTCGGCCTCCTACGGCGGCAAGGCGCTCAGCCCCTACCCGTACCAGTACCCCGGCGCGGGCGGCGCCGCCGGCGGCTACCCCGCCAAAGCCTACGCCGACTATGGCTACGCCAGCCCCTACCACCAGTACGGCGGCGCCTACAACCGCGTGCCCGGCGCCGCCAGCCAGCCAGGTACGGGCTCTGGAGGGGCCAAGTGGGGTGGGTGGGAGATTGGGGGTCCCCCTCCACGCCATCCACTGCAGTGGGGGTGGGGGGGGGCGCATGTGGCAGAAGGGAGTGGGTCCCCAGGCCAGCACTTCAGGGGGAGTTTAGTAAGAGAAGCTGGTGGGGGGTTCGGGCCAGGGTCTCTCCCCTCCGGCACCTTGCTTGGGACTGGGATGGGGTTGGGTGGGAAGGGGGTGCTCTGTCGCTGGGTTCCCAGCTCGCCTGGTCAGGTAGCAGGCTGGGCTGGAAAGGGAGTAGGGGTGGAGAGGAGAAAGAATCTAGCAGCCCCGGTGGCGTTTGCGTAATACAGGGGAGGTTGGTTGCTGGAATTTTGGGTAAGCGTGCTCGGTGGGTGCGAGTGGGAGTGGAAGGCTGCTTGCGGGGCTCCGTCGCCGTCGGGGTTTGTCTGAAAGCAGCCAGGAGCCAGGGTCGCGTCGCGCTGGAGCCCGGAGCGCTCCGGGTGGGATGGGGTGGGGGCCTGGGAGCCGCAGGCTGCCTGAGGAAGGGGGGGAGGAGGAGAGCCTTGCAGTTTACCCAAAGCAATGCCAGAAACACAAAAAGCCATATAAAGATGGAGGAGGGTTGCTGAGGGGTCACGTTATTGAACACTTTGTTTCTCCCTCTTTGGGTGCCTAAAATTTGTCTTCTTCCTCCCCACCTCCTCCTTCTTCAGCTGCCTTGAAACTTAGGCGGAGAGTTTAAGAGGGTTTAGTGAGCTTGGGCGGTAAAGAAAGAGAGGCATGAGGTCTCCTTGGAGAGGTTTTGCTGGTCGGGTTTGATCTCTTCCCACCAGCACATTAATAATCCTGCTAATATTAGCATCCCCTGCTCTGGCAGAATCCAGACCACAGCCCTCATCCTCCACCCTTCCTCTCCCAGGAGCTGGCCACACACACACACACACACACACACACACACACACCAGGGAGAGGCTTTCCGCCCCTTCCAGAGATGGGCACTTCTGATAAGGTGGGAAAGGGGACTTTTGGCTCCAGGGCACCTTTGGAAAGCATGCGTTCAGAAAGTCTCAAAACCCCCCCCCCCCTCCTCCCCGTCCTCTATACTCAGGATTTTGAGAAATTCGTCCTGACCTGCTGCCCCTTTTTTACGAAAACACCCCACCAACGATTTCTTTTCAATGTGTGACTTCTTGTTAAACTACATTAAAAAAAGACAGCCATGGAGGGAGAACGTCTTCTGTTCCTTTCTCAGTGTCTCTGCATTTCCTGCATAAGTGAAAGATTTTTTTTTTTCCTTTGGGCCCAAGAACGTATTAAGTCTATTTGTAAAAGAAACCAGACACATCTGTGCCCTCCCAGATCGGCAGGGAGATTATGGGGGCTGCATAATCGGCCCTCTGTCTGCCATGGCCCGGACCGCTTGCTACTGAATGGAAGGAGCACAGTTTTGCTTGTGGGACTTTGAACTTTGGAGACCTCGGTTAGCATCTTCCCAGCGCTTGGGTCCGGCCTCGGTGGGCTCCCGAACAGACGCTGGCAGGGAGGGGATGGCCATGGTCACTCCAGAAACGCACGAGAGCGTAAACACAAGTCCTCCGGGTGAAGCTACAGGGGCGCAGAGGAGGGAACTGTGCTGTCCAGCGCGCTTTTCGCCAGCCCCGGGGAAGCTGGATGAGCCGCGTAGGGAATTGATCCGAGGCTGACTACCTGGCCTTTGCAACCTTCGGGGGAGGGGCACGGGTCTCCCCGGGTCGTGTGGAGCAGAGGTGGTAGGTAGGATGGGGAACCCCGAGGGAAGCCTGCCCGGGAAGAAACCCCAGGCCTGGAGGTGAGGGTTCTGCAAAAGCGCCATTGTCTGCGGACAAGCTCTAACCGGTTCTGTTTTTTTGCTTGTTTAGAGAAAGAAGTGGCCGAGCCCGAGGTGAGGATGGTGAATGGCAAACCAAAGAAAGTTCGCAAACCCAGGACTATTTATTCCAGCTTTCAGCTGGCTGCGTTACAGAGAAGGTTTCAGAAGACTCAGTACCTCGCCCTGCCCGAACGCGCCGAGCTGGCCGCCTCGCTGGGCCTGACGCAAACACAGGTAAATGCGGGCCGCGCCGGGCCGGCCAGGGCCCCGCCTGGGCTGCGTGCCTGGCGGGCCCCGCGGTCCTGCCCCCGCGGGCGGGCGGGAGGGCGGGAGCCGATCGGAGGGCGCCTGCGGGCGATCCAGGCGGACAACCACTCTGCGCCCTTCCCTCAGTAAGGCAGACCCGCGGGCGCCGCCTGCGACGGTGGGGACGGGATGGAGACGCCGCTCATCCTGAGATGCCCCCCGCCTCGGGCCCCCCGGGGGCGAGGGGCCGCCTCCTAAGGGACACGGGGAGGGTTGCTTCTAGGACGCTCTCGCAGAGAAACTGGAGAAACTGACCAGTGATGTGTGCCACGCACGCAGCCTCTCGGGCCAGCCGGGCCCGTCGGTCTCGCGGGGGTTTCAGGCCCAGAGAAGACAGAGGCCGCGGCCCGCGGGGCCGGGAGAGCTGGGAGAGGGGTCACTCCCTTCCCCGCTGCCGCGGAGCCTGGGGGTCGGAGGCAGGGGGGGTGCTGGGGGGAGGAGCAGCGGGGCGCAGTTGGATGGGGGAAATCTTCCCCGGAGGGTCCTGTTTCCATCACCCCCCACTCCAAGCCCTAGAGAAGAAGAAAGAATGTGGGAGTCACCGCCCGGGGCTGCAGGCGGATCCTGACCTTTCCGGGAGCCGGGGAGGGGGTGAAGGGAGTGGTGCGGAGACCTGGGGGACCGGTGCGGAGACCTGGGGGACCGGTGCGCTACCTGCAGGGACTCGCGCTCCGCTCCCGGTGTCGGCTGCACCGCCCCGGCCGGCACGGCGCGGCCGCGGTTGTGCAGACGTGGGCGCCGCGTCCCGTGCGCGCCGCGTGGGCCTGCAGGTGCGCGCACGTGGCTCCGGACACTCGCCTCTTCCCTCCCCCCCCCCCACTCCCTCCCCCTCCGGCCCCCGGCCCGCGCCTCCAAGCCACACAAAAGACAGCCTCGGGGTCGTGCCCTCGCGGCGGCTCCGGCGCGCCGATCCCGCCAGGGCGCCCTCTGGGGCCGGACATGCAGGCTGCGCCCCGGGCCCCGGTCCGGGACAGAAGGCCCAGAGCCGCGGGGGGCCGAAGATGCCTCAGAGTGTTCCGGTAACCTGTGCCTTTGTTCCTCCCTCCTCCCCCTCCCCCCCACCCAGGTGAAAATCTGGTTTCAGAACAAAAGATCCAAGATCAAGAAGATCATGAAAAACGGGGAGATGCCCCCGGAGCACAGCCCCAGCTCCAGCGACCCCATGGCGTGTAACTCGCCGCAGTCTCCGGCGGTGTGGGAGCCTCAGGGCTCATCGCGCTCGCTCAGCCACCACCCTCATGCCCACCCTCCGGCCTCCAACCAGTCCCCCGCGTCCAGCTACCACCTGGAGAACTCGGCTTCCTGGTACCCGAGCGCCGCCAGCTCCATCAACTCCCACCTGCCGCCGCCCGGCTCCTTACAGCACCCGCTGGCGCTGGCCTCTGGGACGCTCTATTAGACCAGCCTCTTTCTCTTGCTGATTTTTTTTTTTTTTTTTTTGGGACTGCTGTGTTTTGCTGTTTTAGAAAAATCATAAAAGAAAGGAATTCATATGGGGAAGTTTGGAAACCGGAAACAAAACAAAAAAGATTCATGTGTAAAGCTTTTTTTTTTTTTTTTTTTTGCATGTAAGTTATTGCATTTCAAAGGACCCTGACCCCCTCCTTTTTTTTTACAGACACTTTTTTTTTTTTTTGCGCAACTGTGGACACTATCAATGGTGCCTTGAAATCTATGACCTCAACTTTTCAAGAGACTTTTTTCAATGTTGTTTTAACCATGTAAATAAGTGTAGATAGAGGAGTTAAACTGTATATTCTGGATAAATAAAATTATTTCGATCATGAAAGCAAAATGTTCCTTAAAAAAATACTTCTTTGCTCGCCCCCTCCCCCCTCTTGTAATGGGCTAGCCATGCTTTATGCTGGCAATTAAAGAAAGAGAAGGTCTGCAGAGATCCAATAAGGCAAAAAGGAAAATAGAAATTGGGAGCTGCATAGATGCAGACCTTTACATGTTATATGTTGAGTGTTGCTTTCTATGCCTATATGCATATGTGGCCTGTTTATAGCACTGCTGAATAATATATATTTAGGTGTTTTGGGTGGGCTTTTTTTTTTTTTTTTTTGGCCTAACTACAAAGACGTTTAGATAATTTTTAAGTTTAACCCCAAATTGTTTCAGGTAGAAAGAAATACTGGAATCACCCTGTGTGTGAGTAAGAAAGGGGCAGAAATCCCTCAATAACCACTCTGAATTCTAAGCTCAAAGCAATTATGGTGGAGAGCTGCCCTCCCCATCAGCCTCTGTGTATTGCTAGAGCAATTAGACAAATTACGCTCCTTTCAAAGGGCGCTTCCAGAGATGAGAAAATGAAAAACTTGTGGGGGGGGGGAATTTCCCCTCTTACTACATTTTTAAAAAATCTGAAATGTTTGCAGCAAGGCAAATAGTAGTGCCTTGGACTCCTTGGTGTATGATTATAAATGTATCTGAGCTCTTTCAAAGAGAGGGAAGGATCCCAGGATTTGAAAACAACGATGGGCCTGAATCAGCAGGCCAAGCAGGCAGGTGGGGGGCATTATTCTTCTGCCAAGAGGGGGAATTGTGGGGTGGGGGACTGGAAAAAGAAAGCACTGCGGCCCTGTGTGGGTTTCATTTTATGCGAGATAATGCTCTAAATACAAATCTTTTCTTCCCCTGCTTTACCACTCTGGGTTTGTTTTTTTTTTGTTTTTTTGTTTTTTTTTGCAGGAAGGAGTTCCTTCTGCTTTGCTTTTACATAAAACAGTGGCAAAGCAGGTTCCAAAGGATGGGAAATTGAATCTGTTTGCAGGGATTGCTCCTTTGTGAAGCCTTCTTTGAGGCAGAGAGGCAAGACTTGCTGCAACCTAGGCCTGTGCGGGTCCTTCTCCCCACAGGGTGCATCTAGGCATCAACCGTGTGGTCAGAGCTTCAGCCAGGTCTGCAGCTGTGCTCCGGGCCAGGCTTGCAGGCGTCTTTCTGACTGTCATTTAGTTCACCTGCCTCTGTTTGCGTGGGATACCAAGGGCAATTGTATATTAGAAATTACAAGATACAGGAGATATATTTTACAGCTGGGAAGTCCTCCTCGGCAATAAATGTGACAAGAGAGTTTTCTTAAAGGTGGGGTGGGGGGGTAGGGGGGGTTGGAGATTAAAACATAAAAATTACATCCTGTCAGCTGAGGATTTCTAAGAAGGTTCTTCCAGGGTTAGGAGAAGAGACCTGAAAAGGCACGCTGTGTGCCCCGTGGGGAATTTACCTGTGTTCTCTCCCTCTCCTTCCCTAGTTTCCCTCTCTCCAGGATTCCTTTATTTTTCTTCTTTCCTTTCCAGCCTGCCAGTGTGGACCAGCTTGGGCCTTAGGGGGACTCAGAGTTTGGAAAGGTCTTTAGGCAACACCCTGCCTGGTCTAGGTCAGCTCGAGGACTTCAGCCTGCGGTGTGGGCCTCCCGGCTCTCCCTCGCGTCATGCCCCTCGGGCTCTCCTTTCTTAGGAGTTTTGGGTGGCTACGCGCAGTGTTCTGCGCTGGCAGAGAAAAGGATGAAGGGGACAAGTGAAGGCATCTATTTCCTGCCTTTCTTTCTTTGCTTGTAAGGGTTTTAGGAGTTTCCATTACACCAAAAGCCAGAGTTTTCTGTCTAGGGAATCCAGCGGGGAGAAACCCTGGCCGCCGCCTGCCAGCGTCAACGTTCCCCTGCGCGGGCGCCTCGGGGTGCGCGTTTGGGAACGTGGAAGGGGCGCACTGATCATCACAAAGTCACCGGCTGCCTGGCTGCCCCACGGCGGCAAGGATGTGCTCGGAGCATGCCTTCGCCCTTTCTGCACACAGAGAGGGCAGATGCTTTCCCAGCCGCCATCCCAGGCTTTGGAAAGGGGATCCCTCTTAACTATTACCCCGCACGGTCAAGCCGATGGAACTGCGAGTTTGGACTCTTCCCAGGAAGTGGGGGGGGGATTCTTCTTTAAAGACACCCCCCCTCCCACCTCCAACCTTGACTCTGCTTGTTGTTACAGACACCGAAGCCTTGCGAGGCGGCCAGGCAGGACGCCGCGTGCAGACTTGGTTTCAGGATTCCTCCCCTTGTGCTAACCTCACTCCTTCCACTCGCAGTGGCCTCTTCTCTCGCGCGGTGTGCTTTTTTTTTTTTTTTTTTTTTTAACTGGGTCTGGGAGCCGTGGACAAAAATAATTCTGCCAAACCAGTCTGCAGCGGGTTTTCCCTGGCACCATGGGGATTCTCCCAGGGGGATTTAACTCCCTGCAGCCCTGCGCCCTAGGATGTAAAAATAACAGATCCTCCGCGAAGGCTAAAAATATCTGTGTGATGTTCCCCTCCCGCGCGCCCCCCCCCCCCGCACCCTCCCTCTTTCTCTCCATTGTTTATTCCTACATCTAATGTAAACGTATACCCGCTCCACCCAGATTCCTTGATCCTTGATCGACCCCACTTTCCTGGCCCTCCGCCTGCCTCTCCCCGTCCCCAGGAGACCCCGCTCTCAGCCCAGTGCTCCCAAGACGTCAGGCCCACGCCAAGCGTTCATTTTCTTTTCCGTGAGCCTCGTCACACACACCCTCACACACTCAGATCCCCTCTTTCCAAAGCCCAAGAGGTCCCCAATCTGCTGGCCCTGCTGCAAAAGATCAGATAAATTAGCCTTTGTTGGAGGCTCGTGTTGGGCTAAGCAGATTTCTGCCCGTTTCCCCCCTTCCTCTCCCCCTCTTCCTGGCGGCCACCTCCTTGTGGAACAGGGGCGGCCTGGGCAGCCGGGAGAAGCCGCATTCCTGTGGGTGCCAGGCGGCTCCAGTCCGGAGCCACAGGGCCTGAGACACACACAGAGGAACCCGCAGGCCTCTGTGCCCTTGATCTCGCTCGCTCGCTCGCTCTCCCTCTCTTCGCGGGTCACCCACCCGGGAGCCTTTCCAGCCACACTCGGACCCACCCAGGGCTCGACCTCCATCCACCAGAGGCGGGCTGACCCGCACACCCACGCAGCGCGCACACGCCCTCTCTCCTGGTGGCACCGGCCAGGCCAGGCTCTCTCCCCGCCTGATCCAATCTTCCCTTTCCCGCCCCTCATCCCACAACCCCAGACGCGCCGGCTGGCCTCCTCGGGCTCCTTTGATCCCACCGGACCGACGCCCCACGGCTCGCGGCGGGCGGCGTCGGGGCCGCGCCGTCCTGGGGAGTCGCCCACAGAGCGCCGGGGCCGGCCCGCTCCCTCCTCCCTGCGGCTCGCTCCGGCCTGGACACCAGTGCGTTCCCTGAGCCCCCAGCCCCGAGCGCCAGCAATGCCTCTTGGAACGATGCCCCCGCCCTCCCTAACCCCCCTTCCCCATCCCAGCATCTCTAGGAGGAGAGGGACTTGTAGGGCTACCCAACCACACCACCCTCCCGGCCCCATCCCCGCACCCCCTCGGAGGGCGCACCTCCCACTGGCCACTGGGATCCCGCCAACCCCGACCTCTCCAACCCTCCCGGGAGGCACGCCCTGAGGGCAGGCGCCCTCCGCACCTCCGGGAAGCGCGCCACGCCGGCGGCTCCGCCTGTGGTCACCCCTCTCCTCCGCCCCAGGCACCCCCTCCCACGGCGCCGGGCGGAGGCCTCCCGCCTCCCTCCCTCCCGGGAGCTTGCGGAGGGGGCGCTGCCGCTGGCTCCCGCCCTGCGCTCGGGTTCCCAGGTTGCCGGCGGTCTTTGCAGGCTGGACTGGGTTTTTGATTTTTTTTTTTTCAGAGTCGCAGCGAACTCTGGGGCCTCCAAAACAGCCCCAATAGCGGTAGCACATGTGGGATTGGCTAAATATTTTCCTACGCAGCCCTGCCAGCCCCCTCCCCAGCCCAGTACGCGTTTTCTTCTGCATCTGACAAACTTTGGGTCTCCCCAGGCCCTGGAGGGACTGGGTGGGGGGCGAGGAGCCCTGCCTTTCAGGCACTCTGGTCGCCGGCTGTAATGTAATAACCTGTTTTATAGGCCGAGCTCTAACCGTGAAGATAGGAACCGAGGGAATTTACATGCATCTCCCTCTCAAGGAGACGGGGAGTCCCGTTTTGCAGCAATTAAATGTTTCTGCTCTTTTGTTCGCTGGGACTTCGTGTTGCTTCTGATTTATGGGGATCCGTAGGAGTCTCTTTGCCAAAAGCGCATGTATTATTGAGTCTGTTTCACATCCTAAACCAAGATTTATATAAAACCGTGAAATACCACACATTACGACCTTTCGCCACAGGAAGGAAAAAATGGCTCATAACATCATTCTACACACACACACACACACACACACACACACACACACGCTCCAAGTTCTGTAATGATTCTCTGTCAAATCTCCTCTATACACAGTTTAGTGTATTTTTTTTAAGTCAGTGAGGGTGACGAGCAGTTAGCAGTCACAAACTATGACTTATTTTACAGCTCACTCCCCCCCCCCCTTGCAAAGGCGAGAAGACAGAAAATCTGCCCATGGAAGCTTATTGTCATCCAAAGACTACTTCTGCCCCCTTGCCGTTTGCAAGATAGACAAAGAGAGGCGGGAGGAGAGGCAGGATATGGACTCAACTTTCATCTATAAACAGGGGTCACTACACAGGGGACATTTCATTATTGCCCTTAAATTCACAGAAGCTAGGAAGCTGGCTTGCCACCCTGTGGGATGGCCCTGGCTAGGCAGTACCCAGGTCTGTGAGGTGATGGGGGTTGAGGGGGGGGGGGAGAGAAAGAATAATCACACACGTCCTGGAGGCTGGAAGGGATGCTCAGGAAATTCTCTGCGCTCCTGGTGGGAAAATTGAGCTCCTGGGGATCTCAGGGCTTTAGGTATCTTTAACT